AATTTCAAATAACTAAATTCACAGTGAATTGAAAATCGAAACATTGAAGATTTTGAATTTCAAATCACCACCCACGCTAACAAGATTGGGAACGTGGTTGGCGCACGCATTCGCCTCAGGAATTCGACAGCCTCGCCACCGAAAGAGTCCCCTAACGGCTCTACCATTTTCATTTAGTAGTATTTTCAGAAATCAACTTTTGGCAAACCGCTACCTTAAATTGTTTCGAAGGCTCCAACAGCGCCAATATATACACTTTTTGTCCAATAAACACAATTTGTTGCGCATCAAAACAAATCCATTTTTGTGGTCAGATGGATTTTAGACCGTTTTCTCAGACAGCTTCTGACTGAAAAGGCCGACAAAATCTCAAATTACAAAAATCCCCTTATGTGAAAACCCTAGATCGGAGCTGTGTTTTCGGTATGCTTCATTGTTATCTTCTTCATGCAGGGACTTACAATAAGCATCTGTGGGTCCCGCGAAAGCTTATGCTACTCTACATTTATAAAAAGGTTTTTCATTTTAAATTTTTTTTACTAGGAATAAGCGTTTTATGAAATGTTGTTGCTTTTCCTCGCTGCACCTCATTCACTAGCCCAACAACAGTTGAATAGATTATATTAGAAGGTAGGAACTAAGAATCCTTATTAAACACTGGGAAGTTTCTATGAATGATTTTGTACTCGTAGGTTCTCCCGGTTTCATTAAAGATCCATTATGTCCGATGTAGTTTTTTAACGACCATTTTTTGTAATTCAGGGTGAAAATAATGAGACTCCAAATAGCGAGTATTCGGATTACTTTTCGCATTTCGATTCAAAACAAATTTTAAATTTGCTAGAGAGCAGATAATATAAGGAAGTAATCTTTGGTAGTTGGCTTTCCATAATACACGCCAATTCTTGTTTTTGTGAAAAATTTAAATAGCCAATAATCACATCCCTCTATCCTAATCTTTTTGGCCCGAAATTATTTTCCCTCGCTGCTAGGTAACTAAATACAAACCACAGTGCATTTGTTTTTTTCTACCTCAACAAAATAGATTGACTTGCAGGCAGCCGCAGTAGTTTTTAATTTATTTTCTGAGCTATAATTTTTTATCGTCAAGGTGAAAACATGACAAAAGAAAAACTAATTTAATTCATTTATTTGCATTGCACCAAGTGCGGATCTAGCATTTTCTCGAGAGGTGCGGGGGTGGATTTTTGAAAATTTTTCGAAAGTTCGTCGTCTTTTTTTTTAGCTTTGTCATATTCATTTACCGAGCTCTCCGTGATCATTATAAAGACCATTTATTGGCAAACTTTCAAAATAATAGGCCAAAAAACTCCGTTTTTAGAGTTGGAAAGTTTTGACTCGTGGAAAGTTTTGACCAAAATGTTGCGTTTTTCAGCACCCCCCTCCCTCCCTCAAAGTTGGTATACAATGGCGGGCGCCTCTATAAAATAAAGTGTTTGGCGTCGGTCACCAAAAATGTATGCCTGAAAAACACCTTTTGGGTAGTCAGAAGGCCTAAATACGCAACTGCATTGCAACAAGAATGTATAAAAAGATAAGACATCAAAGTACTAAAATCAGTTCGTTTGTTGCAAATCATAGGTTTGCAGGCAAAGTTGGAAGGAAAAACTAACCCTTCGCACGTGACCTTTTTACCTAGATCACCCTACCTGCAGCTCCAATTAGTTTCTGAATCTCTACCCACTTTGAATTCCTTGTTTCTGAATTAAATTTTAACATCTAGTTATTTTCAAATCAAGCGTGACCAAAGGAACTATGCATGTTTATGGTCACTTTGTCCCATTTCCTACTAACCTAACTTACCATTGCAGTTAGCTATAACTATTTCAAAGTTCTGGGTATTACTTTTATCATAATACGTGGAAATATATGGAAAATGATGAAAACTCCAGCCAGCATTGTTTTTCTGCCTTTCCTCTTTTATGAAACACATGACATGGGCACTTAGCAAAGTGTAGTTAATTTTTTTTGTGTGCTATAGCTGATTGATGCCATTTCCGTTTAATTTTTAAGATTTTGATCTCTTTTGCGCTTTCAAGTAAAAACTAGCACGGTTTTTGAAACATTTTTTGATAATTTTTTAGTAAATTTATAGCCACAACTCGCAACCTCTTCACTTAACATCGCACTTCGAACTAAATTTTTTTTTCGTTTTTAACAAATTCAGAGAGTATTAATTTCAAGGCATATTTATCTAACTAACGTCCAATGTTGTCGTAAATTGGAAATAGTTTTACTTAGCAATTGTGATTAGCTCGCCAATTCGAACAAAAATTATCTCCTGTCCTCTGGTTTTTATTAGGGAAGAAGATAAAAATTCTCCGAGGCTCATTTTGCTTATTGGTGAAGTCTGCTAATGATTTCCGCTGACAAGTAATGCAAGCGGGCCATTTTGGACGTCAGTCCTAATTTGACACTTATTTGTTGCACTGTCAAGAAGAATAAGCTACTCTCTTCCCCCAAAAGAAGCCAAACTTTCATTTGTACTTGTTTTTTCTTTGGGGCTTGTTTTTCATCAAATTTTTAGATCATCTTCAAAACTTCATCTTACCGAAAGTGTTACCTTATGAGCTCGCATCGTGACATACAAGCGTTATCAGCTACTTTCGTCATAATTATCCGCAAATCAATCTCAAACAGTTTGGATAATCATTTTTGAAAAACCTTGATTTTGTCATTTAAATACTTCAAAGTAGCGACCGCAGAAAATTGACCTGCAATTTGATTTACTTTAAAAACGAGAATTATTTACCATATATTCCTGATTAGTAAGGCATAAATTGAATCTAAATATTTTCAGCGTCCCAATGGCGCTTTATAACAGACATTTTAATGTCAATTATTCTGATTACTCAACTGAAAGCTAATGGAAGGAAGAGCCATTATCCCTATTATATTCCTGTTTATATTTAATAATGCTTTTTGACCACTTTTCCAGTCTAAAACAGATTTCTTAAATGTCTACAGTCTCTTTGCCCGTCTGTGATTCTACCTCCAGTAGATTACCCTTCACAGCTTCAGACTCCTCAAAAATTGAAGGATTCGAGAAAACGAAATCGGATACTCTGATTTCGGACTCGGATGTAAATCTGAATGAAGAAAATAATTTGGTTCGGAGTAGTGAATCGCTCGGATCGGAGAAAGAAGCGCCGGCCGAGGACTACAGTCCCAAGTTGGGTCAGCCGAATGAGGTCTTCTTAGACGTTGGCCATCGGAAAAGTATGTCACGTGACGCATTAGATGACGTCAGCTACAATGACGTCATACCTACTTTGACTGACATGTTTGGAGG